GTATCCTTCCTGAAGAGCTGCATTCAATTCGAGTGATGTGCATGTACTTACCCATCCACGTTGCTGGTCTGAATGAGGGCATGAGTAGTTTTCATTTACTCCTCCTTCAGGGTGCTCCCTTGCACATTGGGAGCAGAGAGGAAAGAGCAACCTCTCATCATCTTCTCCTACTTTCATTGGGAGCACAGGAATATCAATGCTCCTCGGAGGGATGACAAAGACTTTCAATATTGCCAATTTGTATATGTTGTCCTCCGGCTTGCTCCAGTGAACCTCTTCGTTGAGAATATGTACCTTCGGGTGCCCCACTGGATAATTTGTAGATACATTGATAAATGGGTACAAGGAGGTGACGTCATAGTATGATATTTTCTCTCCTTCTTTTGGTGAGTAGAAGAGTTGAAGTGGACCTGTACGTCCTCCAAAGAAGCATGCCCGTAGATCAATTGGGCCATCATCCAAGTACTTTTTGAAGGAGCTCCTCATCTCCCTGTCTTTTTCCATCATACTCCTAATTTCACACTCCCAAAAGACTTGCACTTTTACTCCTTGACTTTTGATGTACTCCATCCTCTTTGCATCCTTCTCCCGCTGCCTTGCTGCTGTCAATCCATTAGGGAGGATAGTGTTGTCTTCCGAGTAGCATCTCTCACAACCATGCCACACACAGCCATTCACCTCTATTCCTAATTGCTCCTCCTCAATCCATCCATCCAACTTGAAGTTACCAACCTTCTTCTCCCCTCCATCAGAATGAGCAGTTTGAATTTTCACTCCATGCTCCTCCTCATACCATTTCATGAATTTGAGAGCAAGGCGGCTCTGATTATCAACATTATCGTAGCCTTTCTCCGGAACAAGAGCTAAATGGTTTTCCTTCAGATGATTTGTTCTAAAATGATTCATACATGCTGAGGCTATGGTCATTGATTCTCTTAAAACATCAATGCCTCCGTGAGCTTTTGAAGACGCTGCTCTCTGACAAGGAGCTCTCTTTGTAACATCCATAAATTCCCGTCTGAACGCAATAAGAGCAGCTAGTAGAATTTCCACATCATTTGTACAGTATGCTGCCAACTCCTCATCCAAGTAAAATGGGAGCTCCTTGTGCTGATAATACCATTTATTGAATTCTTTTCTCTTCTCTGGCATCATCCCATCTGCGAAGTAGTCAGAGGGGATGGGAAATATCTCTTTTCCATAATTTTTAGGCTGGTTGACGAGGTGTGGGAAAAAAGGCTTATCCTCCACCTTAAGAGCAAAAGCGGGGACAAGAGATGCCAAAGACATTGGCATCAGATTGAAGCTGTCCCTGAAGATCAACATACTCTTCTTTCCGACTTTGACTTTCATCTCATACATTTTATTCCCCCTCTTCAGCATTTCAGGGGTAAAACCCAGAAGAAACAGCTCTCTAAACACAATTACCATATCAAACCTCCCTCCGAAATGTGAAAAGGCGATTGTGTCGTAGTCTGTTGTTAATTCAATTATCCATTTGACAAATGAAATGATGGGATCCTCTGTAACTTTCTGTAGATCTACGGGAGTTTTGGAGAAGGGGCGCTCCGAGAAGGTTACAAGTCTGTTGCTCCCACAAACTTTGCACTGCTCCTGCTCCTCCTCAATGCATTTGGGGCATGTTACTCTCGCTGCTATGAAGTTTGCTTGATGTTTTCTTTTGTTGTTACCTGAGGAGACATGTTGCATGGTCTCCAGATCAAAAGCTACAAATCGGTAAGGCTTTTGCTCCTTGGGCTCCAAAGGCTTAATAAAACATCCGCGCTTAGGGTCATGGTATCCTGAGCAGGTTGAGCAATAGCGCTCATTGCATACATGCCCACTCCTTCCATTTTTACTATTTACTGCAGTGTCCCAAATCACTCCACATTTTTCGCACTTCTTGGAACGCCTGCAAACTTTCGAATTGTGGTGATCATTGAAGCAATCCTCGTTGTTAAAGCTTTTGGAGCACCCGGTACACTTTTTAAAAAAGTTGTTTCTAGGAGGGCACGGGTAAAGCGGACCAACACGTGAGCAATTTAAACAGTGAGCACGACAGGATGCAGAATGACGTTGAGAACGTTCATACACAGTTTCACATTCCAAACAATAGGGTTGACCAAAGAGCCCTCCTGTACTCGTAACTCCATTGAAATGGGAGCCGTCGAAATATAGGAGCAATGGGGAATTATAATTGTCGGGGCCATATTTAAAACAAGGCTTATAATGCCCCAAACAATCAAAAATAAAAACTTTAAAACAAAACTGGCCTGAATACATTTCATTCCAAAAGTCGACAACAGGAGGAACCCACTCCTCAGCATCATATTCTTTTTGTCCAAAAGGAGCTCCAACATGTTCCATGAGCTCCATAGTTTCCTTCTCAAATCGTCCTCTTGATCCAAAACGACTATGAATGTAGTCGTAAAATTGAGAACGAGACATGTTGCCAATGAGTCGTACATGTGCTGCTAATAAAGAATAAAATAAGCAATAACCATCGTTGTTGTTGTTGATTTTGATTAAATTCTGCTCCTTGATCTGATGATGAATAGGAGCAAGTTTTCGAGGAGCTCCGCCGATAATGTTGCTCTCATTGACCAAATTCTTATCTACAACCATAACATTAACTGAAAAGGGCTTTCCCCAAAGAGTAACTCCCGCCTGCTTCTTACTCTGAGAAACCTTATTAAATTGATTAAGCAGGACATTGAAGGTGTTTTGTGATGAGGGCCTAAGGGGTATCCATATATCAGAATCTAATAACTCACTTGTTACTGTGCAGCTCAGCTCCTCTGGTTCAAGTCCATTGTTCTTCGCGTTGTTCATAGCCTGGTTGAAGCAGTGTTGGAATATTCCTGATAATAAGACCTCAGGGTCGGAAGGAATATTCTGAATAAGGAATTTAGAGTAATTTTTGGTGATTTTGAATTTATTGATTAATTTTGTAGTATTTTCAAGCTGCTCAATATATTGCTGTGGAGCAGCATCTCCCCCTGATTGATTGATAGAGAGGAGGTTATCAATAAAGAACGCTCTTGCGCGTTTTGTTGGAGGAATATAGTCCATTCTTGAATAAAATCCTATGAAAAAAGAGCTCCTATATGAAAAGAGCTCCTATAAGAAAAAAGCAAAAATTTATGGGGAGCACCAGTGAAAAGAGCTCCTATTGAAAATAAAGAAAAATGAGGAGCAAATTGAATTAATAATTAAAAATAGGAATTTAAATTATTTAGACTTTTTAAAAATGAAGCGAATGAGAAATAAATTTAAAAAATCGTTGTATTTATATGGAAGTTTTTGCCAAAACTTTTAGGATTAAATTATTGTGAAATACATATAGGCGGCATCTTCAAAGAGGATTTAAAATAAAAATTTGCATAAATTTAAAATATCGGCATCATCAAAGAGAGAATAAATTAATTTTCGAAATATAGGCGGCATCTTCAAAGAGGTTTCGATTGTGAAATCTAGGCAAAACAAAAGTTTTAATTTGCATAAATTTAAAATATCGGTAACATCAAAGAGAAAATTTTAAAAAATTTTGAAATTTAATAAAGGATTAAGGTCAAATTTTAATTAGGTCAAGGTCATTATCTGAAAACTCTGTTTAAAAACAAAAGTCAAATTTTGGGGAGGAAAAGAAACTAGGGATTGAAAATAAAGAATTTTAATAAATTATCAAATATCACTTTAATTAACATAATCACTAACATCTCATTATTAACGATACAAACCGTAATAATCAACGATTAGGGTAATCACTTTCAGAACATCTAGAGTAATCACCTGCCTCGGTAATATCCAGGATAATCAATTTCATTATTATGGGTACATGTTTACAAGGTGTAATCAAGTAATGTACACGTATCGTCACCACCGACATTGAAGGTTTGTAAATTACTCATTCTCCACCGATTAATCACTCACCCGTTTGGTTTAACATAATTTTATTGCCACCCGGATGTTTTACAAATTACACACTCTCAATGATTTTTCTCACTCCTCGTTTTGGGTGAACACTTCTCTCTATTTTACCAATCCTCCCTCGCGACAGTGCCTACTCCCTTTGATCTTTGCCGACCCCTCTCCCATTTGTCGGACCCCTCCTCCCCCACGACAGTGTCCACTCCTCTTTGATCTTTGCCGCGACATGCCCTCTCCCTTTTGGTTTTGTCGGACCCCTCCTCCCCCACGACAGTGTCCACTCCTCTTTGATCTTTGCCGCGGCATGCTCTCTCCCTTTTGGTTTTGTCGGACCCCTCCACCACTTGACGGGGATTAGCTTAGTGACAGCCACGACGGTGACCGGTGACTAACTACTCCAAGGCCTTCTGAAATTTTAAAAAATTTCGCCTGCGGCGCTGAAAAAAGAACGCTAATAGCTTTTGAAAAAAGAAAGCTAATAGCTTTTTCCCGTTATCAAACACGTATATCCGGCAAATCCGTTTATGCACCACTCTTTAATCCACATACATCACTTAATCGCTAACAAATTTTCGGTTCTGTTTCGGATAACCGAAAAATTTGGTGAAACCGACAACCCTGTTTAAAATAAAAATTTTTAAAAATTTTCTAGCAAAATTTTTAAAGTTCCGGTTCCGGTTCCGGTTCCGGGCCGGAACTTAGAAAAGTTCCGGTTCCGGTTCCGGGAACCGGAACTCAAATTGGTTCCGGTTCCGGTTCCGGTCAAAATTTCGGTTCCGGTGAAACCCTAGTGACTAGTGGCCTTAACTTTTCAGGGAAAAAATTTTTTTCCTGGATTTTTTTTGATTTTTTCTGATTTTTTATTGGAGTTTGTCAACTAGTGACCTTAACATTTCTGGAAAAATTTTTTTTGTATTTTTGATTTTCTGATTTCTAGTTTTCTGATTTTTTCTGACTTTGTCCTTCTTTCGCTTATGTAGCCTTTTTTTAAAGTTTCCGAAATTCTCTTTCAATTTTTCACAAATTTTTTTAAAAATAAATTTAACAATCATAAACCAAAACTAACTAACCTAATAAATATTGTGAATTATGATTGTTAGAATGAGGATCATAAATAACCATTCCATTAGTTCCTAATATATCATTTGTGTCCTCATAATTTTCTATTAGTGAAGAGAAAAAATTATTATTGTTATTGTTGTCAATTGAATTTCTGTGTTGATGTCTAGTATATTTTGATGGCATTTTTCTGTGATTTTTTTTTGACTGAAATTTTTTTTAATTAGCTAACTGGTAGAGGATTTTTTTATTTCAGAAAAAATTTTTTTCAAAGGGAGTATTTTGTCTTTTTTAATATGGCAATGCTTTAAATTAATTTTTTAAATTTTTTTATTAAGAAAGGGGAAGGTTGCTAAAATAATTTTTCACAGGAAATTTTTTTCTCAAAAATTTCCAGCCTATTTCTGTATCGGGGAAGGTTGCTAAAATAATTTTTACAAGAATTTTTTCTCTAATTTTCTAGCCTATATTTTTATATCTCATTGTTTTTCCACGCATTTTTTGGTGAGAGAAAAAATATATATTCTTGGGTCTTTCTCAGTTACTACATTTTACTTATAAGATAAACACTTTGTATGTATTTATCTAACTTTGTATAAGTTTAAAACATTTCAATGTATATATTTATCCTCAAAAAATTTTTTACTAAATTTTTTTATGTTAAACTTTTAAAAAAAATCTGTAAAAGGGGAATGCCTTTAGAAGAAGAAGATATTCCTCTCTTTGTCATTCAATTTTTCACAACAAAAAATGTCCCCGGATTTTTCTGCTTTTGCCCCTTTTCCGGGACTTTTTCCGCCTTTTTTCTTCTTCCTTTTTCTCCAAATAAAAAAACACAAAAATTTTTTGGTAGAAGAGGACAAACCAAGTTTAATGCTTAAATTAGGAAAGGAACTAAAATATAAAAAGAAGCTAAAAGTTTTGTAAAAAGGTTGTAAAAAGGAATGTTTTTAGTTTAAAAATGATGGCATTAATTAAGTAAAAGTTTAAGACTTGTTTTTTTTTTATTTTTCTAAGGCTAATCAAGATTGGAGTGAGAGATGAGACCACAAACAAAAATCTGTTTATTGAGATTCGAGATTTTTTCAAGATTTTGTGCGATTCTCGTACGAGAGATTGAGATTGGAGTGATATGGGATGGTCGGAGGATGGAGTGGGTGGGAGGGATGGGGAAGGGTGAGGGTGGGAGGGTCGTCCCTCCCAATCCAGTCTTCTGAGCTTGTACGGAAATAATGTGACTGTAAAAATTTATTTTTGATTGTAGTTGGATAGTGTAAGGAGGAGAGAATTTTTTTAAATCCGTGCCACATTTGTGTTACTATTTTCTCTGTTTTTGTTTAAAAAATATACCTATGCAAGGAAAAATGAAAATATTTTTAAGTCACATTTTCGGCAATCTTCCAAAAAAATTTTTTAGTAAGAAATGGCACAGTTTTTGTTTTAAAATTAGGCTCATAAAAACCTTAGTTTTTTTTGTTTACCCAACTTCTTTTTATAAATATCCCCACCGTTTATTTTCAAAGAATGAAAAAACGTGGTGAGAAACAAAAATAGGAATATTTAAAGTCAGAAAAAAAGTGAGAGGGGGGGGGATGTGTACAAATAAAAAAAACAAAATCCCTGAACCATATCTTTGGGATGTGGGAAAAAGCTTGAGGGGAAGGATATACGAAGAAAAGCTGGCAGTTTAGGTTAAAAATGCAAAAAGAAAAAAGAAGTTAGAATATTTGATTTTTAATTATTTAATTGACTAATTTAGTAAGAGATCAAACATTAAAACACAGAAACATTTTTTTGAAACAATTTATATTTAACTTGATGAGTTACGATGAAAAAAAGGTTAATTAAGACGAGGTCAAAGAGCCATACCGTATATCCTTTAATAACTACTCTGGGTAATTATTGTTTCGACCTTCCGCTGGAGAGAGTAATTAATCGAGGGAGGGTAATTATACGAGGTTTGAAATTTGAACGTGTTTTAGGGCATTTGTTTGGGGGTAATTATTGTTTCAATCCATCGCTGGATGGGGTAATTAAGTGCCCTCCCCCAATTATTTAATGGAGGGCAATTAATACAAGTTATACGGTATATCTATATTTTAATCCCAAATCTGATGAAAAATTCTTCATGTAGTCAAATCCGATTTTACATATCTTCGATTTTAAAATTAATTTTTTTAAAGTTTGTTTAGACACTTGGTGGTAAAAAGTTGTATAAATGTGATACCCTCAATTTTGAGACCCTTACAAAGGAGGGGCTGTGGGGACTTCGGATGAAATTTGGTAGACATATCATACCCTACTTTAGTTGTAAAACTTGCACCATTTTCGCTGCTTGGTACCGTGGACCAAGTTATAAGACCCAAAGTTTTAGGATCTCCGATTTGAGAGGTAACTTTTTCTTAATTTTAATTTGCTGACTAAATTAATAAATCTCTCATTCATTTCCTTAATAATGCCTCTAATCCTTTCTAACAACTTGGGATGTTTTTTGTTTATTGTTTTTTTTTCTCCACAAATTTTTTTTTTCAAAATTCATTTCCTCATTATATCATCTAGATAATAATGTGTTTATTTTTCAAGTTGAAAAGTTCTTTTATTTTGTTTTGCTTATTTTTAACAGAATTACTAAGTAGCTAAATAAATGTGTGTGTTAATAGTAGTAAAAAAGAAAGTTTAACTATTTATTTTAAAGTTTAGCTTCTTCTCTCTTTTATTTTCCCACACACATGAATATTTAAAACAAAAATTTTTTTCTTTTTTTTCTAGTTTAAACGGGAAGGGGGGGGGGGGGGGGGGGGAGAAGATGTTTTTATTTTTTATCCCTCGTCATTTTCTTTTTTAAATTTTGTTTTGTGTGCTGAAAAATTTATTTTTAAGGGTGAGAGATTTTTGAGATTTTCTTTTCGTCATTTTTGTTTTTCTTTAGAAATCCCCTTTTGTTTTTCTTATTATTAGCTTAATAAAATAAAAATAAATTTTAAAGGACAAACGAAAAAAAAGAATAATAATAATTTTTTAAGTGTGGGTAAATTTCTTTTTAATAATACCGAAAAAAATTTTTTTTGCACTTTGAATATTCAAAAAAAATTTTTTCACGAAAAAATTTTTTTTAATATTTATTTTTTATTTTATTTTTAACAAGTATTTTTTTTCTTTTTTCTATCATATTTTTTCTCACCCTTATAAATTCTGGATTTGAATTATAAATTAAGTAGGGGTAATATGATAGTGTAAATAATAAATATAGGTACCTATTGTGTTAATTTATTTAATTATTCAACAATAAAATAAGACCTTTTATTTTTTAAAAAGTTTTTTTTTAAATAAATAATTGAAGCATTAATTAATTTTAAAAAATTGAAAAATAAAGAGGAAAAGAATCTTAATAGGAAATTGGATTAAAAAATTTTTTTGTTAGATAAATTATAACAATTAAGGGGGGTGGGGGTAATCTTGTTTGATTCTTTCAAAAACAGAATGAAACACCTTTTTTAGGGAAAATTTCGGAAAAAAATTAATTAAAAATTTTGTATCGAACAAAATTTTATGAAACTTTTGGAATCTTCGTAGATTTGTTAAATATATCTAAATAAAAAATCTCAAAAAGATACATTGATTAAGCAACTAAAAAAGTAAAAAAATTAAAGTGGGTTATACTCTTGAAACAGAGTGTAATACTTTTTTATTTAAAAAACTGTATCGAATATTTTGAAAAATTTTGGTGTATAGAGGGGGTGTCATTCTCTAATAAAGGGTATTATTGTAATATTTACAGGCTTTATAGAATATCTATTACATATATTAACCCAAAAATATTTTTTTTAAATTTTTTCATTTAAAAAATGTCTCGCGCAATAAAAAAAATTTTCTAGAAAAATTGACTTTTAGTAGAATAAAAAATATGTAAATATAAGAAGAAAAAAGTATTTTTTTTTATTTGTCAAGTCGTTTATAGCTAATTAAGTTTTTATGTTATAAACAGATATATGGGGGCTTTTTCCTGCTAAACTATTAAAATAAAAAGTAAAATTGAGTTAATTTATTAAATTATATATTTTTAAGAATTGTTATTGTTTTATAATTTAATTTGATAGACTTTTTTAATAGACTTTTTCCTGTTATTGTTGTTGATTTTCTTGAAAAAAATATTTTTTTTTATTTCGTCACTTAATTTTGCGGAAATTTTTTTCTAATTTTTGGAAAAAAAATTTTTTGAAATTTTTTGAAAAAAATTTTTTGATTTTTCAAATTTTTTTTTGGCTAAATTTTTCTAAAAAATTTTCTAAAAAATTCTAAAAAAATTTTTTTCAGGCTCGCCGTGAAGAAGCAGAAAAGCAGCATGCAGCATTTTCCCAATTTGGAGGTTTTGACCATTTTGCTTCATTTCAAAATCAAATGGCTATGCCACCATTCAATCCTACCCAACAACACCAACAACAATTACAATCTTCTCCAACTTTTTTAACTCCATTATTACCTTCTCAACAACAACAGCAAACACAGCAACAAACATTTGCTGTGCCACAAATACCACAGACAACAGCATCAACAACGCAAGTAGAGCAACAACAACAGCAAACATTTATTCCTTCATCAATGCCTATGCCTTTTGTAAAAGTTTTATTATTTTTAAAAATAATTTTTGAAAAGATTTTAAATTTTCTTGGAATTATTGGGAAGCTTTTAGAATTAATTTTTTTCAATTTTCTGAAAATTCTCTTCTCGAAAAATAATTTTTTGCTAAATGATGAGCAGACACAACAACAACAGCAATTATTAAATACACTAGTATTTAAGTTTTGCTTCAAGTTTATTTTAGATAATAAACTTGAAGCAACTTAAAAATATAATCCTGAAATAAAATTTAAGCTTGAAGCTTGAACTTGAAAAACTTGAATTAAAAAAATAAACTTGAAACAAAACTTTAATTTAAAAGGGTTTAACACCTCAACAATTAATTGTTCCTGAATGTTCTAATATTCCAACAACATCAGAACAATCGCAACAACAGCAACAATTATTACCAGAATTAACAACTGAAAGAGCTGCACAAATATTATTTGGAGGGAAAAAGAATGAAAATGAAGAGGATGATGAGGAAGAAAATTATGATATTTAAGTGTAGAAGGATTTTGGGTGTGTGTTTTTATTATTTATATTTAGTAAATAATGGATTTTTTTTAATTATCATGTATTTTTAATAAAATAGAAGAAGATAATTTAATAATGAAATTATTGTTAGGATGGGGACTTGCTGGGAGGGCCTGATTATCCATGAATCTCTTCCTAGATAGTCCGACCACTCTCCCCTCCCATTATTCATTTTAGAGACTTAAACTTTAAGTAACCCGTGATTTTGGTTGAGGACCTTGACCATATTCTTGACCTTTAATCAAAGAAAAATCAAGAAACACTGAAAAATGCTTTGATCTTGACTCAGGATCCAGGAAATATCGAGGTCTGGATCCATGTCTATCTCTAATTCCTTTGTATTTTCTGGGTATGGTTCCAACACGGTTTCTGGATGTATATATGTATGTTGCGAAACACTTCCTTTCTAGTTATAATCGGTCCTTTAAATTTTCAATTTTGTTCATACCCTCCTTCTACCCCTTTATTCTCTCAATTTAACTCAAAATTTATTTTTAAAATTTTTTTCGATTACCAAAAAAAAATAAAAATAAGCATTCCATCATTTGTTTTTCTTCTCCTCATTTTTCTGTCTCTCAAGGGATTTAACTCAAAAAAAAAAATTTTTTTTATTTATTTATAGACTAGGTAATGCAATTTGTGCAAATAAATAACAGAGTTTTTTTTCTTTTTTATTTTTATATATCCACTACTATATCACTCATTTTTACAATTACATAAATACACTTGGAAGGATATATTTTTTCTGCTTTTTTACTTAAAAAATATTCTTTCTCAAAAAAAATTTTTTTTTAATTTCCCTATCTCTCTCAATATCTGTCCAGTTTAATAGCTAAGACTGGACAGATGTTTAATCCCTCCTATGGAAAAGAAGGTTGTTCTACCTATTTTTTGTATTTCCCATATTGGAAGGAGGATTTTCTTTCGGATTGCTTTATTTTGTAAAAAGAATGTGAGTCCTTATTGGGTCCATTTTGTCAAATAAATATTATTATTATTATCGGATTTTCCTGAGGATTGTGATCAAAATTACTTCCCTTCCACGATCCTTTTCAATCCTTTCTACAACTCTCGAAGGATGGTTCATTATTTCTCCAAATTTTTAATATACAATCCATCTATGAACAGAAAAAAATTTTTTTGGATGGGTGTCCTTAGCATTCAGATGACCAACTCTCCAAGAAAGCTTAAGGAAACACCTTTAATTTCCTTCCCATGAAGAATTGGTGGTCCAGAAAAAAATTAGTAGCCTTGAGAATCTGCCTTCATAATCTCTTTTTTGTTAAATTTTAAGAGAATTACGATTAGAAAGAAAAACTTTTCTTATTAAGACGCTTTATATCACCCATGTTTACCTTCAATCTTGTAATTTACCCTTTACTCAATTAGACAAATACTTTTACATTTTCAAAATAAAAATTAAATTAATAAAAATTTTTTTCTTCAATTTCTACCTCCCCAAACTAACAATTTTCTCTCACCAACCACTTTTCATAGAGTAAATATATTATTATTTTTTTATTAAAATATTTTCGTAATTTCCCTGCTATTTTTAGCCTTTCCTCTCTCAATATTTTTTCTTTTTTCCAATTTTATTTTTATAATTAAAAAAATATAATTCTTCTCATATTTTTATAAAAAAATGAAATATTTAAATATAAAAATTAGTTTAAAATTATTTTTTATTTTGTTTTATTTTTCTCCTTTTGTATTATTTTATTTTATTGTTCCAGGTATTGTATTTTTTTTATTAATTCATTTTTTGGAAAAATTAAAAAAAAATTTTCTTGGTTTTAAGGGTCTCTAACAGAGGTCGATCGGAATTCCGTTTTCCTAGTTATGATTTTTTCCGATTTCCGATTTCCGACACCTTCGTCATTTCCGATCGACCTCTGGTCTCTAATCAAAAATTAAAATTTTTTGTTGATTTCCCTCCCTTCCTTCCAAAAAAGTATTTTTTTTTTCGGTTAAAGAATATCAGAATTAGAGACTGAACTGGGAAGATCAAGCAAGAATCGATATCGATATCTCAAAAAATCTCGATTCTCAATACCCGAGATTTTTAGTTCGAAATCTTGTCTAGCTCCGGCCTCTATCATATTTTTATAGCCTTTCTAAAAATTTTTTTAAATTTATTTAATCAGCTACTGGTGAAGAAACTGATACAACTGCATTGATAGCTCAAGCATTGGAATTGGCTAAGGCTGGGCAAAGAAGGGTTGAGAGAATTGAACAAATGATGAACGTAAGTGTATTTTAGCGATCGGAATTTTTGAAAAGCCTGGGCTTGTTCCTAGGTTCCGGGTTAGGTAGATTTATTGACCTGGGCCTGTAGTCCAGGGAAACCCCAGGAATGTCAAAAAATGCCTAGGCCTGGATTCTGGGTACAGGAAAAATCCAGGCCTTGGTCCAGACCCAGGCCGTTCTAGTATATAGGTTGAAAGAAAAATTAAAATTTTAGGAATTTTTTTTTCAAAATTCTAAGAATTTTTTTTGAAATTTCCAACCCCCCCCCCCTCCCACCTAATAAAAATCCCAACAAAAAAATTTTTTTTAGTCTTCACTTCAACAAAATGAACAATTTATTCAAAAAGGTAGTGAAGCATTAAATAAACTAACTAATGAGGAAATAAATAAACAAGAATTTGATAATCCAAACAAAGCATCAAAAATAAAAATATTTTTGAATAATTATTTGCCTTTGATTTTAATTATTTTTTTGTTTTTAATTTTTTAATTTAAATATATAATTTATTATTTATGTTAATAAAAAATATTAAACAAAGAATAATATTTACTATACAAAAATATACATATCCCGCATTAAATAAATATTTAAGTATTTAATTTTTGAGATCAGGTAGAATTGAAATATAAATAATAATATACATTATGTTCAAGAATGATTAGATAACCAAGTAAAGTCAACTCTTGCTCACGACACCTAATGTTCCCTTGACCCTATAATCTAATGTTCCCTTCACTCTATGAGCTGATGTTCTCTTTACCCTATAAGCTAATGTTCCCTTCGCTCTATGAGCTGATGTTCTCTTTACCCTATAAGCTAATGTTCCCTTCGCTCTATGAGCTGATGTTCTCTTTACCCTATAAGCTAATGTTCCCTTCGCTCTATGAGCTGATGTTCTCTTCACCCTATGAGCTAATGTTCCCTTGACCCTATAAGCTAATGTTCCCTTGACCCTATAAGCTAATGTTCCCTTCACTCTATGAGCTGATGTTCCCTTCACCCTATGAGCTAATGTTCCCTTGACCCTATAATCTAATGTTCCCTTGACCCTATAATCTATGTAATGTTCCCTTCACTCTATGAGCTGATGTTCCCTTCACTCTATGAGCCCAGAACCAGATCCTGAAACAAAAATTTGAAAAAAAAGTCGGAGCCGGAATCACAAAACGCCCCTAATGTCCCCTTCACACTATAATCAAAGTCCTTTCACTTTACGATATAATGTTCGCTCAGCTCACAGGATATCCGAGGATCATCTGAGGATATCTCTTGATATTCGAGGACACTTCTAATGGGAATTGACTTTACTTGATATAATTTCTAAAAAAATTTTTTCTTCCTACAAAAGAACAACATCCTCATCATTATAATCTTCAATATCTTCATTAATATTACTACTGTCTATTTTTTCTTCACCCAAAGTCATCAATTTATTTCCATTTAAAGTAGCTAGTAACTGTAATGATTGTTGAGAATTTTTTCGATGTTCATCTAATGAATTTTGACTGTAGATTGAAGGAGTACTGAAAATTTTAAAATTAATTTTGATTTTGTATAAATATTTCATTTTGTCAGAAATTCAAAATACCCCAAATATTTTTAAAAGGATAATTAACTAATTCCTCTTAAAAATCTACAGAAAGTCGGAAAAAAGAAATTATTGTGTTCCTTTCACCCCATAAGAACTGATGTTCCCTTCGCTCCAGGATTTAATGTTCCCTTCACCCTATGACCATACTATCAATTCTCAAATGTTATTAAAAAATTTTCTAAAATACGAAAAATTTTAACATTGAAGGAATCGAGTTTTGAGAATTTTCAAAAATTTTTTTGAAAATTTCTAAGAAAATTTCAAAAAAAAATTTTTTTTCCGAAAAATTTTTCAAAAATTTTTTTTTCAAAAAAAAAATTCAAAAAAATTTTTCCAAAAATAAAATACTACATATTTTGCAAAATTAATTTTTATTTTAATTTACCTATTATTTAATCCATTAATTTTATTATTAATCCACCCATTGTCTCTATTATTGCTATATTCAGTTAACAAATTTGTTGTTGTTGTCCCCCCAAAATTAACGGTAGAGGAAGGTCTTTTAATTGAATTATTTGAGGGATGCAATGAATTTCTATGTAGTTGAAGAGAATAATTATTAGCAAAAGATGCTGGGGAAGGGGTTAAACTTGGATTTATTAGTGTTGGGCACAAACAAATTAAAAAGCGTGAAATTGTTCGACGAAAGGCTATTCGGAAACGTTCTGATAGAAGACCTTAAATTATGTGTTTTCTTTATGTGTTATTTGTGTATTTTTAAATGTTTTTAATGTTTTTAAGTTTGTGTTTTAGGTAGTTTAATGCTTGTATTTTTGTATTTTATTTTGTGTTTTATTTTTGTGTTTTTGTGTTTTTTAATGTTTTAAGTTTGTTATTTTAATACTTATATTTTTGTTTTCTTGTATTTTTTGTGTTTTTTTTGTATTTTATTTTTGTGTTTTTTAATGTTTTAAGTTTGTTATTTTAATACTTATATTTTTGTTTTCTTGTATTCTTGTATTTTTTGTGTTTTTTTTGTATTTTATTTTGTGTTTCTTCATAATTTGTATTTTCCCTATTTTTATTTTGTATTTCCATCTATTTTTATCCTTGTATGTATTTTTGTGTTTTTTTGTATATTGTGTTTTCTTTGTGTTTTTCTTTATTTTTGTTGTGTTTGTATTTTTGTTCTATTATTTTTTATTTTGTGTTTCTTTAAAAAATTTTTTTTTATTTTTGTTTTTGTGTTTTCATATGTTTTTTTTATATTTCGTGTTTTTCTGTATTTTTGTCTTTAAGCTTTATCCATTTTCTATTTTTGTATTTTCTTTTATTTTCCCCAAGTTTATTTATTTATAATTCTGATTTTTATTTATTTTATTATTTTCCGGAAACAATTTCCGGAAACAAAACACACCATAAAGTATAGGATTAACACAACTATTTGCATAAGCCATTGTTTGCACAACTGACTGGACAAGTAAAAGTCTAAAAAAAATTTTTAATTAATTTAATTTCTATTTAAAAACAAACATTTTTTCATTATGCTCCCAAAAACTAGCTTGTGGATAATTTAATCCTTGAAGGAAAAAACGAAAATTTTGAGGTAACCAACAGAATCCAAAAGTTAAAATAACTACAAAAACCATTCGAGTTGCATGTCTTTTGACTCTAAAAATAATTTTTTTCACTCTTTTTAGTCAAAAAATTTTCTAAATTAAAATTCCCACTATTTAAACAAACCTCTATATAGTGGACAAGTCGCTTATAGCGGGGTACATTAAATAGAGGTTTTTGGATTTTTTAATAAAAAATTTTTTCTTTATTATTTTTAAATTTTATTTTTATTTTCCCTGATTTTTTCTTTATTTTCCCTTCAATTTATTTTTATTTGTCAAGTAAAAAAACTTTTTCGCTTGAAATCCCTCAAGCACTTCAAAAAATATTTTTTTTATTTATTAAAAATGATGTAAAGAATAAAAAAAAATCGGAAACACAGAAAATTATTTTGTTTACTTATTTTTATTTTTAAGAGAAAAATAAAAAAAACTTAAAATTATTTTTTTGAATCACGTCAAAAATGAAACAAACAACTTTCTTTTTTCTTGGAAAGGAGAGGGATTAGCTGAATTATTTAAAAAAATATTTTAGCTCAAAAACAAAGAAAAAATTTTAAAAACAAAGAAAAAAGACTTGAAAGAAGTCTAGTTTAAATAAACATGGAAAAAAATCCAAAAACCTCTATTTAATAAACCCCGCTATAGGCGACTTGTCCACTATATAGAGGTTTGTTTGAATAGCGGGAATTTTTAATTAAAATTTTTTTAAGTTAAAAAGGGTTACTTTTGTGAGGATTTTGACTGAACAAGCTTTTGACGCCATATTTCCTTTACCAGTAAAAAATAGAAGGCACAAGATAAGGTTAAAGGCAACTGAAGGAAAATTTTTTTAAATTTTTAAAATTTTTTTAATTTTTAAATATTTTTTAAATTAAAAATAAAAGAGAAAACAAACCAAATAAGCCCCCAAATTAAATCCCCAATAAAACAATCTGGCTTGAAGAGGAGAGGCAGTAGTAAGGGCTATAGCTAGCGAATCAACACAAGCAGAGCCTTTAATTCCCTTAAAAAAGAAAAATTTTTTTAGACTTTATAATTTTTTTAGATATTTAAAGGTGTATTTTAGTACATTTTTAAATTAATATTTTATTTATAGAAATTAATTTTATATTTTATTTAAATTAAAAAAAAAATGCACTAAAATGTCTGTCACGCTTATTAATAAATTAAATAATTTATTCACCCCTTCCTTTTTTTATGAAATTAATTTTTTTAATTAAGAAGGAAATGAAAGGCTTAATTTAGAATAAATTTAAAAAATATTTAGAATACTAAGATCTTGTTTAAAAAAATTTTTTAATTTTTTTAATTAAGGGATTAAATTAATAATTATTTTTGCATACAAAATATGCTTAATGACGTTTGCGTAAAAATTCATAAAATTGCTTAGAGAGTACATAGAAACATAAAATTTTGCAGAAATATTAATAAAGGTGTTAACTATCGAATTTTAAAATTTCAGAATTTTGGGTTAACTATTACTCATGTTCTGGTCAAAAATTTCAGAGAGGGTTGAAATTTTCGTCAAGTTTCGACATTTTCGCCCATATCTTTTAAAATACTTGACTAAAAATTATGAAATTTTTAGAGATGTTAGATAAGGGTATTAGGGACGTCTCTAGAAAATTTTATGGCTATAGGTAATAAACTCTCTATTTTATGGACTCACAACAAGCGTCAAGTCAACCCTATACTCCCTCAATGTTTAAATGGGTTTTAACGGAAAATACACTTTCAAAATATTTTTTAAATTAAAATAACCAAATAAAAATTTAAAAAATCAAAAAAAATTCCCTTACATTATATTCAAATCGAAGTACCCCAACATTTCTCATTTGAAGAGAATTTAAAGCTAATACAACTAGCCAAACTGTTATACAAATGTAGAAGACAACTTTACAGCGTCGTGAACTTCTTCCAGTAATTGATGATGTTATTGACTTGAAAAGAATTTTTTATTGAAAATTTAAAGAAAATTTTTTTGAAAATTTTTCGAAAATTTTTTGAAAATTTTCTGAAATTTTTGAAAATTTTTCGAATTTTTTTTTGAAATCTTTTTGCAAATTTTTTTCTGAAATTTTCGAAAAATTTTTTTGAAAATTTTTTAATTTTTTTTTGAAAATTTTATAAAAATTCCCTTACCACAAATCTGTCATGTGCCAACAACACCAGCGTCCAAACAGAAACATAACAAGTAATATATTGTAAACTAACAGTTATATAACACACAGAATCTGAGAATGGCCAAGATTTGGAAACATAGGAGAGGGCAGTTACGGGAACACAAAAAGTTAAAAATAATAAATCGGCTAATGCCAAATTGGAAATAAATAGAGAAGTACTTTAAATTTTGAAAATTATTTTAAAAATTAAAAAAAAATTTTTTAGGCTAACCTGTCATGCATTTGGGTATTTAAAGCTATAACTAGTAATACAAGTATATTCCCAAATATACCTATCACAGTTATTGGAATAAAAACAATAGCGATAGCTAACATTATAGTATTTAAATTTAAATATTTTTTTTAACTGAAAAAAATTAAATAAATTATTTTAAAAAATAGTAAAGATTTGGAAAAAAATTTTTTATGTAAGAAAAATTAAAAAAAAATTTTTTTATTAAAAAAATTTTTTTTAATATAGGCTGTTAAAATATTTATAAAAAGGCGGAAATAGCGTATAACATTCTTTTTATTAATCCAACTTTTTTAGTTAAATTTAAAACTTGTTTCCAACTTGATAAATTTATTAGAACTTAATCAACCTTGCAACATTTTTAAAAACTTTTTTTAGAAGCATTCTTTAGAAACTTGAAAAAAACTTTTTAGGAAACTTTTCTTCCAGCATTTTTACCAACTTTTTTTCAAACTTTTTTAAAACTTTTTAAAACTAATTAAATAAAACTTGGACCGATACTATAAAAAGGGAAGCAGTTTTATTACAAAAATTAGTACAATTTATTCTAATTAAAATTTAAAAACATTTTTTTATTCTCAAAAGTGCATTAAATGAACTAGCAACTTTTCCTTCTAATTTTATTTTTAAATTAAAAAATAAATTTATTTTTGTCATTAAATTATAAATTTAGCCTCTTTTTTAAAGGGCTTAAAGAGGATGGAAAATAAATTAATATTTTTTAAATTAATTTTTTTATTTTAATTAAATTTGCTAAAATATCTTTCTTTAATCTTCAAAATTATTTTTTTACAAAAATAATTTTTTTACAAAAATAATTTTTTAAAGAAAATAATTTTATTAATAAAATTAAAAAATTCCAAAATTGGATATATATTGTTAATTAAATGACGCAAAAAAAATGTGTAAAAGAAAATTAATTTGACATGAAAAGAGATATGCTTGAAATAAAAATTTTTTCAAACAATGATTCTGGAAATTGAAATTCCTTATTAAAAATAAAATTAAAATAAAGAAAAAATTTTTTTTTTGAATTTCAAAGATTGGTAAACAATTAAATAAACAATAAGTTTTTATGAAGGAAAATAATTTTTCTAAATTTTATAAAAAATTTTGGTTGAAAAAAAATTTTTTTTTGTTTAACTAAACCTAAAAATAAATAAAATTAGAGAAATTCCTAAATTCAAAAATATTTCATCTTTAATTATTAAAAAATTAAAGAATAAAAATTGTATTTTAAAAATAAAAGATTGGAGTAATACGTGTAGAGGGGTATCTGAGAAATTTAAATTTAAAAACAATTTTTGATCTATCCATCCATTAGATTCCAGTCTCTAAATATCTCAATGATCGGAATTTCGTATCGGTCGGTATTACCGATAAGGAAAACCGATAAATACCAAAAAATACGCCCGTAGTACGGCCGGTACGGTCCGATCACTAATATCAACATCGCTAGTGTTATATCAAAACACCTCAAAATCTCTCATTTATCGAATAGGATGGGAATAGAATCGGGATTATAGGGTATATTTATATTAAATACCCTAATAGAAGCCTATCCCTTTATAGAAACCCCCATGCCATATTAAAAACCCCTTAAATGACCCATTGAAAAATAAACGACCAAGACTTTTATTAGGGATATCTAAACTTGGACTGGTCCCCGTTCCAGAAAGTCGGGGAATTTGAGAGACCCCCCGTCGGGGGCCAACCCTAATCTACACCCATTAGTTAGCTAATAATAATTATTGTTAAAATTAAGGAAGGAATTTCTTTTTTAAAATTAAAATAGTGGAAATTAAATTAGGAAAAAAAATTATATTTTTTTTTGTTTTTTGGCCATTTAAATGTGTGAAAATTAATTAATTTAAACAAAATGTTAGGAAAAAGAAGAAGAAGCTTCTCTCTTTTTAACTTCCCTTCATTTTCCTTCTCGTTTTGGCAACTCTAAAATAAATTTGAAAATGTTATTTAACCACCCATTTTATAGTTGCGTGCCTTTAAAAATATTTTAGAAAAAAAAAATAAAATGAATATTCATATTAAGAGGCGTGTCTATGCAAAAATAAAATATTAAAAATGAAGAAAAAAATTGTGAGATTAGAAGAAAATATTGAAAAAATGTTGGAAGGATGTTATTAACTAAATATTAGGCTTATAAAATTTTGACAAATTAGCATTTTTAGCTTAAAAATTAATTTTGTTAATTCATTAAATATATATAGAATTAATAATTAATTTACAATTATATATTTTTAAAGCAAAAATATACCTTAAAGAATCAAAAAATAATTTTTAAGTGGAAAAGAAAAGTATGGCATTTTAAGAAGCTATCTAAAAAATCCTTTTTTTAATATTAAAAAACTATAATAATTTTTTAAACTATAATAACTATTAAAAACTATAATAATAAACTATAATAATTCATAGCTTATTTTTTAATTAATTAGAAATGCCATCCTTTTCTTATATACGCATATATAGGGTTGCCGTTTTCGGCTTGAGCCGACGTTCGGTGCATATTTTTCGAGCTTAGTTTTTTTCGATTTGGTTCGTTTTCGAGTCTTTCGAGCTGAAAAGCCTAGGCTCGTTCGATCTTTTGAGTTTCGGGTCGAGCGAGCCGGCAACCCTATGTATATACCTTAAGATATACCCCTTAAAGAATCAAAAAATAATTTTTAAGTGGAAAATTATCTAAAAATCCCCTTTTTTTAATATTAAAAAAACTATAATAATTCTTTACTTATTTTTTAATTAATTAGAAATGCCATACTTTTCTTCTAAAATAAATAAGAAAAAAAAAATTATTATTTTTTTAATTTTTAAAAGTGTTATTAAGGATTTGGGGGAATTAAAAAGTATATCCGGTAAAATAATAATTTTTTTATTTTTCTTTCAAAAAATTGTCCCCACACACATCCATGTGAGGGATAATAAATTAAAAAAAAAATTATTTATTTATATTTAAATCTTTTATTTTTTAAATTGCTGTTTTCCGTTTTTTTAGGAGATAAATCTGACTAAAATAAAAATCAAAAAAAAATATTTCTAAAAGCTTTTTTATTTAATATTTAAAAAGAAATTAATTAAATGGATAAAATAAATAATTTAAAAAATTTTTTAGAAAATGTTTTTGCAAAAAATAAAAATAAAATTGTTTATTTTAGTAATGTTTTTGCTAAATTATTTTGGTTAATGTTTATTTTTTTAATTTGTGTTTTCCTTTTTTATTTTTAAAATTAATTAAAATAGGTATATCAAAATACAAAAATAGCAGAAAATAAAAATAAACACAAAAATAGAGAAACAGAAATTAATAAAAATATAAAAGAAAAAATACAGAAATCAAGAGAGAAAATACAAGAAAATACAAAAAATCAGAATTAATTTCAGAATTAATTTAAGGGGGTTAATTTAACTGAAAATCAGAATTTAATTAATCAGAATTTTATTTTAAAAAATCAGAATTTAATTAACCAGAATTTTTATTAGAAAGTCAGAATTTTTAAAAATCAGAATTTAAATTCCTATTTATAAATCAGAATTTTAGTCAGAATTTTAGAAAAATAAAATCAGAATTTCAAGTTTATTTTCATCAAAAAAATCAGAATTATTTTTAACATTATTTATATTTAATAAAAAATCAGAATTATCTATTTGTTTTTAAAAAACAAATAAAATCAGAATTTGTTTCATATTTATAAATCAGAATTTTAGTCAAAATAAAAAAAAATAAAATCAGAATTTCAAGTTTATTTTCTTTAAAAAATCAGAATTATTTATTTGTTTTTAAAAACAAATAAAATCAGAATTTAGCTAAAACACATAATAAATAATAAAGAAAAATACATATAAAAATATTCTGACTTTATTTAATCCCTTTTCTTTTAATTTTTCGCCCACTCAGCAAGTTTCCGTTTACTTATTTAAATTTTAAAATTAAAAGGGAATAAATAATCTTTTTTTTAATTTATAATTAAAAAATTAAAAAAAAAATTTTTAAAGAAAGCACAATTATTTAATTGTTACTTTATTCTTTTAAATAATTTATATTTCCAAGTAAAATTGTTTAAAATTTAATTTTTAATGAATATATTTAAATTAAATAATTAATTGCTCAAAATTGTTAAATAGGGGCTATTAAAATTAGAAAAAAAAAATAAAAAAAATTTATTGAAAAATAAAATAATTAAAGGTAAAATAATTAAAGGTAATCGTCTCTCAATTAAATATTATACTTTGGCCCTATCCCGAAAGAAGGGTCGAATCGTTTTTTTTCATTACTTTTTATTACTTTATAAAAATGGTCAATTTTCCTTAAAGTTGATGTATGTTGATGTTTGCCTTAAGGAAGAACGGCGAAGGACAGATAATGACAGAAAAACACGAAGGACGGATGAACCACGGACAGACAGAACACGGATGTACTCGTGTCGTCTGTATCTTGTCTGTCCGATTTCGTCCATGTCTTGTCCGTCCGAGTCCGTCCGTGTCAGACGTGGGCGAAACGTTTCGTTTCGTTTCGTTGTTTCGTATGTTTCGTATGATTTTTACTGTTTCGTCTCGTTTCGTTACGAAACACTTTTAAATTTGTTTCGTTTCGTTTCGTTACGAAACACCTGTGATTTTTCAACGAAACGAAACAATTTTTTAAGCCTAAACTAAGGCCAAAATCTATAAAATTTACCATCTTTTATTGAAAATTTAAAAAATTTTCGCCTGCGGCGCTGAAAAAAAAAGAATTTCGGCTTCTTGGCTTTCCCAAATTGTCAAAATTTTCGCCTGCGGCGCTGAAAAAGGAAGATAGCAATTACTTATATACTACAAATCCGTTTATACTCCACTCCCTAATCCACATATACATATTACTTAATCGACGACAAATTCTATTACCGGACTCGCATCATAATTTAAAAATTGCTGATTGCGAGTTGCGGAAATACTGGAACCGGAACTTCCGGCGAAGCACTAGCTTATATCGCCTTCCTCTCGAAATGGAGATATGGAGACAATTTGGGTAGGCAATGGAGCAAGATGGTGAATTTTTTGGCCTACGGCCTTTCAAAATTTTAAAATTTTT